TGTTATGCAAAATAGAACAAAATAAGAATCTTCGTATCAACTTCGGATTTTTATGTCTCGTCTGTGGTTCTTCGTATGTGTGGGTGGTGGTGGTGGCGCAGGGTTTTGGGGGTGGGGGGGAGGTGGGGTGGACTTGCCACAAAATACACGCAAGTACCTTGATCACAGACATCAAACCAGTCTTAAATTGTAAAACACCTCTGCCCTCGCTGCTTGGATCCAAATTTTGAGCCATGGTATATGCTTGCTCACATACTGATCACAAAATGAAATAACAATGAGATGCCAGAAAGGTCATACTGATGGATTAATTAGAAATCACAATCTTTGAAGATGCAAAGTGCACAAAACAATACCAGAATGTGAATAGCCAAAGCACAACAACAACAACTAAGGTAAATAAGTAAACCCTTATACAATGATCACAGAACGAAAAACTGATGAGTACCAGAAAGGCAGATGGATTAATAAGAAATCACAATCTTTGAAAGTTGTATCCTATCGAAGATTAAAGTGTCTAGGAAATGCGGGGGCTTAAGATGGCTGCATAAGCTATTCGACAAGATTATTGATACTAAAAAATGACTGATGCGCGGAGAATTAGCACTTTGGTATCCACACAAGAATAAAAGAGATAGTACAAAAACTGAAAAATGAATGAGGCGTACCCCTGTGTCTACTTTTGTATAACGGGATATGTGGCAACGTGATTGTGCACCCTTTAGTAGAATGAAAATGGCAATATGAGCTCCATATGCAGGTTAGAACAGCATGTACCTTGGTTTCCACAAGCGAATTTTAATAATGCAACCCTCTCCATCATATAACCAGGCCACATTGTGTTGGTAGCTATAATTAGTTGTTATTCGCTACATGCTATGTAGTTGTTGTACTTGGTTTTGATTTCTTGATAATTTGACTACTAACTAAAATGGTTGATTGGTATTCTTCGTGTTTTCTCAAACAGTGGAAATACTACAATTCTTTTGACCTTGGCAAATATGTTTAACACGCTGAAGAAGCAACGTGCTGATACGCATGACGTACCAGCCAAGCCTATGACCGTTGTTACAGACCTGCAAGTTAATCTGCCTCAAATTTGCCATTTGCTGCATCATAGTTTGCTGCCGGGTCTGAGTCTCTCTTAGCCCTGGCTTTCTGAGTTGAATCTTTTCCACCTGCCAGCTCATCGTATCTCTGAGCTTAATGCTTGATTCATGGGCCTGAGGCTATATAGCCAGCAGTTGATTCAAACTGACAAATCGGATCAAATGTACCACTTGAAGCTTGTGGTAAATAGATGGAAGAGACTGAAATTTAGGTTGAGTTCACTTCACACAATGACTAAGCATGTGCCTTCAGATCGGAAGGAGCCTCATTCATCCGAGAGAGAGAGAGAGAGAGAGAGTGGTAATGATTATGAAAGACATTGTTTTGAAACTCACGCTTTCAGGAACTTCCTGATATACTATTGCTCAAATCCAAGAACACTAGCTTCTAAGTAATGACTAACTATAAGAATTGGATATATTCCATCAAGATGATAAGCCAAGAAACTTCTAGGTCAAATGCCCTTGAGAATTTAACCTAGATCACATCTCTACAGCTGCATTTTGCAAACTAACAATCAGCTAGTAGAGATACCTACGGTTCGCAAATCACATCAAAAAACTTCAAACCAGCAACAATAAACAATTCAAAAGCAAACAGCAACACCAAACTCATTCTAGATACTCCATTCCACTAATCTACACTCACTCACTCCAAAATTGAACACTACTCTAAAAATACTGAAGTTCCACTCATTCGACTCTCTCACCAACCTCAAGAATCACATTGATCAACCAGAAAACACCAACGAAAACAATCAACAGCCAAAATTGAGCTAGCGACTCCGAAACAGCAAGGAAGTCTAACAACACAAACAGTTCGAGAGCAAAAAGCAAGATCAAACTCGTTCAAAAAATTCCTTTCCACTAATGTACACCCGCTCACTCCAAAATTGAACACTAACCTAAAAACAACTCACAGTCCACTCAATCCTCACTCTAATCACCTCAAGTATCACTCAAATCGACACTACAAGCATCAATCGAAGCAGTCAACAAGCGAAATCGAGCAGAGAACTCACATATCCTGGCGACATTTGGATCCTCGTCCTCGATATCATCAGCAGCCTGCAGAATCGCGTCGATGTTCGTCTGCTTCCCAAGCGACGGAGGCCCGGAGCTGCTCCCGCTGGAGCGTCGTTCGAACGAGTCGCTCCCAGTTTTCGTAAACCCTAGCCATCTAGGGCGAGAAGGGGAGAGAGGAGCCCTAGGGTTAGGGTTTCGGGGTTGAATCTAGGGTTTTTTTAGGGTTTGGAGGAGAGGGAAGAGAAGGAGAGAGATTTGGATCGATGGGATCTTTTGCGGAGAAAAAGCGGAAATGGGAAGGAGAAAGTGAGGGAATTCTGACGAAAGACTTCTTTTTTCAGTTGAGAAAATAAACGCAGAGATGAGGGGGTATGTGGAAATTTGGCTGCGTTACGAAATCAAACCGTTGAATAATTGGCGTAGGAGTTAAGTATTTGTAGATGAGCGATGGCTTCGAGCGGAAGATTGTGGGTTTTCTTCTTTTTCGTTTTTCCCTTTTTTTTTTTTTTTTGGCTGTGAAGTGGGAACAGGAAAATTAGAGCGAATAATTGAGTTTCATATTGTATTTTTTGTACTTAGACGTGCCCATTTAGATTTCATCTCTTTGAATCTGAATACAAATTTGTTAAAGTTTTTCTAAGTCGATTAAATTTATTTAATACTAATATACTTTCACATATGATTCGATTTAAACAGTTTGTAAATTATTTGATCAAAAGATTATTTTTCTTTGATGAATACTTTTCTCTAATTATTTTGTTCCTACTATTGCCAAAAAATATTGGTGTTTACAAATGTCACGTTCAAAAATCGATCGATATGCGTGTATATGTACTAAGAATGCATACACGTTGATTGCATACATAACAAACGAATATTATTAACCAAGTGAATGGAACATGATCTTTTGCGTGCTCAGGAGATTTTTTATTAGCCCTTGTTTAATTTTTTTGAACAACTATTATGATATTTTGGAAATTTTTTAGAAATGTATCTGAAGTTTAGCATTCATTCTTGTTTTTTTTATACCATTTTCATGCTTTTCTATCTTTTTTCTTGTAGCCCAAAGAGATTTGATCTTTCACCTCACTCCCTAAATAATCTTCAATCTTAATTTCTTATATTTAACTTTCAATTCATTTATTATATCTCTCAGCCAATTATTTTGACGACTTAAATATTTCATTTGAGATGTGTATTTTTGAACAAAATGTAAAGTTAAATAAAAATGGCAATTACAAAAGATATTGAGTTAGCAATTACTAATTTCAAAATTAATATAGACATTGACACGAAAAACCAACATGATGATACCTACAAGTTTTATGACCCACATGGTTTCAAGTAGGGTTGGGAATACGCCAAATTCGAATCAAATACCCCAACTTTCATATTCATATTCGGTTCATATTTGACTATCGGAATTCACATTTGGAACGAACATGAATTGTGTATTAGAATTCGATTTAATTATTGTTAGAATATTTTATGACCCCAGCTTTTATGGATTTTTTTGGTGAATTATTTAGTTCATATTCGACAATTATTCATTATCATATTCCTAATATTATAACGCAACCAGCCATGATACAAATTAATGAATATGCAACCTAATGATAAATGTAATATTCAAAAATAGAAAACTACTTACATGAGGTTGTATGCATAAATAAACTTTTGGGATGCATAGAAAATATAATAACTAAATGTTATATGTTTAAAGTGTAATATATAAATGAATAGTTTATTAAACAAACAAAATCATGTATGCTTTTGGTTAAACTCTATTTACTTATGCACCGAATACTAAAAACTATTTGTATATTGTTAAAATATATCTCAAATCGAATATAAAGGAGCACTTGTGAATAAATATCAAATTATTTTCATATATACCCCTTTAATCATGAATATTTGCAAATATCCTGTAAATCTCAGTATTTACAAAACTACCACTCAAATCAATAATGTCGGAAAAATTACTCTCATAACAATTAATCATTAACCTTGATAAGCTAATTTATAATCATAATATACAAATTATTAACAAACAGTCAATTTTCAGCTCGAAGTTGACGATTTGTCGATTTTACGAGTATTTTCTCACAAAATTGATGAATTGAGGGGTAAATTTGCAAGTACTAGGATTCGACAAGTACTTTTTGTAAATACCCATAATGTAAGGGGACAATGCACAAATAACCCTTTTGTTTGCGGAAATTTTCTTGGTGGGCTTTATAGTAAATATGACATTGCATCTAGGGGTGGTAAATGGTCAAATCAAATCGAATACTAAAATGTTCATATTTGCACTTGCTTTAAAATATCAAATTCGAACGTGGACTCTAATATTCATATACAAAGTTTATCGAATTCAAACTCACGCACTTGGTATTTGATAAATATTTATGAATATTCACGAATACTTATCGAATATCAAAATATATTTATTCCGCTAAAGAATTTGATTGTCAAATAGTATTTAAATTCATAAATAAAAATTATTTATTTGTAACATATAATGTACACATATATTTAAATAGAAATTTTCATTAGAAAATAAGTTTAATATTATTCAAGTCCTAAAATTAGTACAAAATAAAACTTAAATAGAAATAATAAGAGGCTTAAAAATATAACGTCATGTATGCAATAATACAAATAATAAACAATCAAAATTTAAAGAAATATTTAATAAACAAACCAATGCAATATCCATCTAATTAAATTCTATTGATTATGACTACCGAATGGTACTCGAATTCCACACCTAATGGCATCGCCAGAGCGACGCGTCTCACGCGCAATTTCTTCAACAAAAGAAATCAAGGAAGAAAAGAAGGTCCCGCTAAAATCTTCCAAATTTTCAAAATTTTGTGCTCGGAATCCCTAGGGCTACCGTAAAGTTCGCCCGAGAAGAAAGAATCGGACCTCAATTCTCCTTCAAGGGCGCTTATTTTTTCACCAGAGGTTGGAAGGCGCCTCGTTTTTTTTAATTGAATTAGGGTTCTGATGCAAGAAGCAAGTTACGTTCTGTCTGTTTCTTTTGATGGAATTTGAAGAACACAACACTCTACACAAAGGAAACTTTTATTGATAGAATACTTGAGAATACAACACTTGTTCTTACAAGAACACCTCACTTTCACACAATTCCTTTATTTTGGTGGACACTCACACAAGGCTACACTACACACTCAAGCTCTCAAGCTCACTTCTTGCTTGCTTGCTTGCTTGCTCAAATGAGAGCACAAGACCCCTATTTATAGTTGTTAAGAGGGCTAGGAAGTGTGTAGAAGAGTTAATCCTAGCCATACATTACTAAGAAGTTTCTAGAAGAATAAATACTAGCCATACACTTGTATCTTCCTAGAAACTTCATGGTAGATATTTTGTAGGATGTTACTAGAAAGAAGTTCTAGAAAGTTGTTCTAGAATAATCTAAGTTGGTGAGGAATTCTAATACTCCCCCTCATCACCAACTTTCATTTCTCTCAAGTCCAAGCTTCTTCTTAAGCTTCAAAAATGTCTCTGTCTTTAGTGGCTTGGTGAAGATGTCAGCGATTTGGTCTTCAGACTTGCAATATGACAGCATCACAGTCTTCTTTTTAACTTGATGTCGGATGAAATGATATCTTGTCTCTATGTGTTTGCTTCGTCCATGTGCTACCGGATTTTTGGCAAGTGCAATAGCTGACTTGTTGTCGATGAGAATCTCTGTCGGTGCTTCTTGTTGGTGTTGCAATTCCTTCATCAGACTCCTGAGCCATATTGCTTGACACGCACATGTCGATGCTGCTATGTATTCTGCTTCGCAACTTGATAGAGCGACGACAGACTGCTTCTTTGATGACCATGAGAATGTTGCTGATCCGATATTGAACATGTAGCCAGATGTGCTCTTTCTTTCATCTAAATCTCCACCATAATCGCTGTCGGTGTAGCCGACTAATCTTGAATCTGCACACTGTGTATAAAATAATCCTTGATCAATACTTCCTCGGACATACCTAAGAATTCTCTTGGCTGCTTTGAAATGCTCCTGTCTTGGCTCCTCCATATATCTGCTCACCAGTCCTACCGCGAACACTATGTCGGGCCTGGTGATGGTTAGGTAGCGCAAGCTCCCGACTAAACTCTTGTATAGAGTTGGATCAATATAGCTTCCTGGTGTGTCTCGCCTCAGCTTCACTCCGACTTCTGCAGGAGTTGCGACTGGATTGCAGTTGCTCATGTTGAACTTCTGAAGGATATCCTTTGCATACTTCTTCTGAGAGATGAAGATTCCTTTCTCTGATTGCGACACTTCTACTCCAAGAAAGTATGACATTTCTCCAATGTCAGTCATCTCGAACTCCTTGATCATATTCTTTTTGAACTCCTCGAACATTTTCGGATTGTTGCCGGTGAAGATCATGTCGTCCACGTAGAGACATACGATCATGATGTCTTCATCCTTCTTCTTGGTATAGAGAGAGTGCTCATACGGGCTCCGATGGAATCCGTTCTTCTGGAAGTATGCATCGATTCTGGCATTCCATGCTCTGGGCGCTTGCTTCAGTCCATACAATGCCTTCTTCAGCTTGTAGACTTTGTCTTCTTGATTCTTCACCTCGTACCCTGGTGGTTGCTTGATGTAGACTTCTTCTTCTAAGTAGCCGTTCAGGAATGCAGACTTCACGTCCATCTGGTAGATCTTCCACCGGTTCTGTGCTGCCAATGCGATAATGAGTCGGATGGTGTCGATCCTCGCGACTGGTGCGAACACTTCTTCATAGTCAACTCCTTCTCGCTGACTATAGCCTTTTGCAACAAGCCTGGCCTTGTACTTCTCGATTCCGCCATCTTGATTTGTCTTTGTCTTGTACACCCACTTTACTCCGATTGGTTTATGGCCTTCAGGTAAGGTAGTGAGCTCCCATGTGTCATTTCTCTTGATTGCCTCGATCTCGTCATCCATGGCTTTTCTCCACTTATCTTCTTGAGCAGCTTCTTCATAGCTGACCGGATCACATTCTGCAAACAAGCAGAATAGTGTGTAGTCATCCATCATCTCGACAGGCTCTGTATCGTCGTACAGATCTCTTAGGCTTCTCATCCTCCTTGTTGCTCCCCCTGAAGAGCTTCCTTCACTTGAGCTGGATGATGTCGGCGTTGATGTTGGGGTTGATGGAGCTGGACTATTAGGTGGACTTTGTTCTGGTCTTCCAACCTCCTGCAAGTCATCATCATTATCTTCAAAGAACATACCTTTAATATTTTTATCTTCATCGGTCCATTTCCAATAATCTTCTTCATCGAACTCCACGTCTCTTGAAATGATCATCTTCTTTGTAACTGGATTGTAGAGCTTGTATGCTTTTGTCCTCCTCTCGTACCCAACGAATATGCACTTTTCTCCTCGATCGTCCAACTTCTTTCTTTTCTGCTCCGGGATGTGTGCATATGCAATACACCCAAACACCTTCAGGTGGTTGACACTTGGCTTGATGTTGCTCCACATCTCCAATGGTGTCTTGAACTTGACGCTCTTTGTCGGACATCTGTTGAGGAGGTAAACTGCACAGTCCACGGCTTCAGCCCAGTAAGTCTTTGGCAGGTACTTGCTCTTCAACATGCTTCTGACCATATCAAGAATGGTACGATTCTTCCGCTCTGCTATGCCATTCTGCTGTGGTGTGTAGGCGGCAGTGAGTTGATGAATTATCCCGTACTGCTTGTTGAAATTGTTGAATGCCTTCGAAGTGTATTCTCCACCTCGATCTGATCGGAGCACTTTGATGTGGTACCCACTTTGCTTTTCTACCATCTCCTTGAATTCTTTGAATTTCTCCAGAGCTTCGGATTTCTCCTTCAGGAAATAAACCCAAGTTTTTCTGCTATAATCATCAATAAATGTGAGAAAATACCTGTTTCCTCCAAGAGAGATGACTTCAAATGGTCCTGCAATATCTGTGTGGACCAATTGTAGCAACTCTGTTGCTCTTCTTGACTTTCCAACTTCGAAACTTCTTCTATGTTGTTTGCCCTTCATACAGCCTTCACATAGCTGGTTCGGATGGTTGATTTGCGGCAATCCTTTTACCATTTTCTCCTTCCATAGAAGATTCAGGCCACTGAAAGCGAGATGCCCGAATCGTAGATGCCAGAGCCAAGTCTCGTCTTTTATGATTGACTTCAAGCACTTGACAGGGTCAGCATGAATATTTAAGGTAAACAGTCTATTTCTAGACATGTTCACCTTTGCAATAACTTCATTTTTATTTTTAATAGTGAGGGCAAGGTCTTTTAGATGTATATCATAGCCTCTTTCAAGGAGCTGGCCTAGGCTCAAAATATTATTTCGTAATGCTGGAACATAGTAGACATCAGAGATGTACCTGTTCTCGCCCGTCTTTGTCTGGATCATTATATTGCCCTTGCCTTTCACTGGAATCTTTGACTGATCTCCAAAGGTGACATCTCCTTGTACCGTCTCGTTCAGCTCGGTAAAAAACTCCTTGATGCCGCACATGTGGTTACTGGCACCTGAATCTAGATACCAGATATCTTTATTCTTGCTTTCGCTCTCCTGGTACGTCAACAGGACTGTTGAAGTGTCTGCCTGCTCCCTTTCTACAAAGTTGCTTCTTTCTGCCACTTGATTTGATTTCTCCCAACATTCGTAGCTGAGATGACCGTATCTCTTACATTTGTAACACTGTGGCTGAGATCTGTCCTCATGGTAACTTCTTCCTTGTCCTCGTCCTCGTGTGCCACGACCTCGTCCTCGATCGAATGATCGTTCACGATCTCTATTTCGATCTTGATTTTCATGGCCTCCTTGGTACTGTCTCCTACGACCTTGCTGGAAGTTTGAGCCACCTCGAAATGAGCCTCTGCCTCTGTAGCCTCCACGTCCTCTTCGACTATCTTCTTTGATAGTCATCTTACTCTGCAAGGCTTGTTCTAGATTCTCCGCTTGATTTGAACTAATGTTTATATCTTGTTCATAAGCTTGCAGAGAACCTTGCAGCTCATCAATAGATACTTCGGAAAGATCTTTAGACTCTTGTATTGCCGGAATAATATATTTGAATTTAGAGTCTAAAGTCCTAAGTATCTTCTCCATAATTCTTACATCATTAATTGCTTCTCCATTTCTCTTCATTTGATTTGTTATTGTCTGAACTCTACTAAAATAATCCGATATTGATTCTGTAGCTTTCATCTTCAAATTTTCAAATTCAACTCTTAATGCTTGGAGGCGTACCTTTTTGGCTCTTTCCGCACCTTGATAGGATTTTTGTAAAATCTCCCATGCTTCTTTAGAGGACAGGGCATTGGAAATCTTCTCAAACGCAGATTCATCTACGCCTTGGAATATTAGGAACAAAGCTTTTTTGTCTCTTTTTCTGACCTCCTTCAACTCACTCTTCTGAGTGGCGGTGAGAGTTGCTTCTGCTGCAGGTGACTCCGGTTCAGTGTAGCCATTCTCTACGAGATCCCACAAGTCTTGCGAGCCGAGCAAGACTTTCATCTGGATACTCCAGTTGTCGTAATTGGTCTTCATCAGCTTCGGAATCTGTGGCTGGATCATGTTCGCCATCTCGTACACGAGCACCTTCGATTGGCCCGGCTAGATCGAACTTTGCTCTGATACCACTTTGATGGAATTTGAAGAACACAACACTCTACACAAAGGAAACTTTTATTGATAGAATACTTGAGAATACAACACTTGTTCTTACAAGAACACCTCACTTTCACACAATTCCTTTATTTTGGTGGACACTCACACAAGGCTACACTACACACTCAAGCTCTCAAGCTCACTTCTTGCTTGCTTGCTTGCTTGCTCAAATGAGAGCACAAGACCCCTATTTATAGTTGTTAAGAGGGCTAGGAAGTGTGTAGAAGAGTTAATCCTAGCCATACATTACTAAGAAGTTTCTAGAAGAATAAATACTAGCCATACACTTGTATCTTCCTAGAAACTTCATGGTAGATATTTTGTAGGATGTTACTAGAAAGAAGTTCTAGAAAGTTGTTCTAGAATAATCTAAGTTGGTGAGGAATTCTAATATCTTTGTCATTTTAGGAAATTGTCTATGTTTCTGACATTACTTTGCACGCATAAAGTTATTGGAGAAATACGTTGCTAATTGAAATAGTTTTTAGCGAATTGGGATTGTCAGGCTCATACCATGGAACTTGAGGCCCTAAGAGTCTGGGGCATTATCCTTTTTTAGCGAATTTGTATAGTGGCTAAGTGAATAATTATGGATAACCCTCTGTTGCGAAAATATTTGAAAGAATATTATTTTTTTCTTATCGAGGAATGGAACGATCTCCTATAGTTGAGATGCAAATGACTTATTTATGTTATGATCCAATAACAAGTTGAACATATAGAATATGTATAACATATATTTAGTTACCCTCATAGGAATTCAGTTAGGGTGGGTGCTTGGATATATTAGAGCCTTGCACCTCTACAAGCATTATTCTTTTTGTGGCTATCTTATCTAGGTTTATCAGAACAAAAAAATTTGTAGATTTAATACTATAATCATCTTTCGTATTTCAAGAAACTTTCATCAGTTAAATTCTTTGAAAATTGTCGGCACTACCATGATTCTGAAAACAAACTCCTACTCCCATATGATACTATTTTAACTTAGATATGTCTGTTAATCTTAGAGAATAATGAATTTGCCAAATCCAATAGAGCAGGATTACTTCTTAAACTCAATCGAGGATGAGATTTTTTTTCTTCGTTGTTTACTTTGACAGTGCGGGTTTTTTTTTCTACATTTATCCTTTCATTGATCTGAGTCCCTTGAAAAGTATACTTGCAAACAGAAACAGGATATTCATATAATGTCTAATTGTGAAGTTAATTGTAAACTTTAGGATTTCATAGTATGATAACCAAATATCTAATGAGAACAATTTAGTTATGGAATTGGAAGTTTCACTTTCATATGTCGGAAACCGATGATAGCTGGACAAAAGAAGCTGGATATCCAAAATCCTCCATCTACCATCTTTCTTGAGAGCTTGCGAAGTTGGAACAACACATGGACTCATTCTCTATCAGCCTAGCTCTTTGTCACCGGTTTATATAATCTTGCAAAGTTGGACAGTCATGACTCATTTTGTAATGTGGCAGGTCTAGACAGTGTTTTAAGCCGCAATGTCGGCCGATGTCAGATTTAAGGGCCAACTGACACGATATGGAGCTTTTCAATGCGTATTGTATCTCCAGAGTTTGTGTCGGATATATAAGGGGACATGTTGGACATGTTGGGCGGATATATTAGGGGACATGTCGAATATGTCGGCCGATTTTTCAGTTTGAAAAATTGGCTGACTTTTTTTGTTAACTTTTTTTTGTTACGTTTATCTAATCAAGTTTGGGTTAAATTCCTGGTTGTCTTAGCATGTCTTCCAAAGACAAAACCCGATCATTTAGGAGAAATGTAAAAAAAAAGACCGAAGTCATTTCCGTCGCTCCTCTTCTCTCTCTCCTTCGACATCTCATCAGTCTCTTCTCTGAGCTATTCTTTCCACATCAATATTGGGTGATATTCTCTCTCCTTAACTACAAACATCGGACTCCTCTTTGCTCACCTATTTCCTTTAACAGTAACCCTAAGCATAATAAGTTATTTACTTTTTTATATGTTTAGACAATAGAATTTATTAAGTATGTTTAGATTTCATTATGATGTTTATATTACACATATGCACACCATCTAATATGACAGTCCGATATTTTTTACATGTACCCTGACATATTCCCGATTTCCGCTATGCAATATGAATTTTAGCCGTCCGACATGAACCCAACATCCAACATTTGAAACATTGCGTCTAGTAAGCTCGTTGCTGGTACTAGGTCATTGTGACGTAGGATGTTTCTCATCGGTAGTCGGCTTTCAGGAAACTCTTGAGTCAATCTTCTTGAATTCCTCAGCAATTGCTGTAATTTTGCTTGAATCCTGATTGTTTGTAGAACTGGACTGTCATGCTGCTGTGCCTACAGTTAGAGGATTAACTGCAGGCTATTTGTTCACATCAGGGCATCTGCTACTGCTTTGGTCTTACTGTTTGCGAAGCTTGTAGGAGTATGAAATCTTTTGTTCATAACCTGGTTTCTTTGTTTATTGGCATGAATCGCTGCCTTAATCACTAGGTTGTAGGCTCATACAATGCTCTGCTCTGATGAAAAGCAATCTTCTCCTGAATATTGAGCATAATTCATTGATATACCAAGCAACTTTCTTTCTCTCTACAATCATCAAGGCTATAAAATTCTGCAGTATATGCTGCCACAGTCTGGTTACCTTGTCTGCAACTGCTTGAATGAGATTTTCTCATAGTTAGGTTGACAGAACTTCATCCTCAACTCTCTCTTCCCCCAAGCCCAATCTCGAAGTGCAAGCTTCCGCTGTCGTTCTCTGTTCATATCAAGTTCTTCCACCAAGCATCAGTGCCACCCTTGTAGGCAAAGATCACAATTTCATGAACTCTAAGAACTATTTTTGTTCTTACCTCCAGTCAGAAAGTTCCTTAATGTCAAAGGAGCCGGTGTAAGTATGGAGTTCTTTAACTCTCTGATCATAACCATAGCTCCAATTTCTGTTCTACATCGTCTATATTGTATATTCTCTAATAGTATGTGTTCGACATCGGCAAATCCCTTAGCTCTACAGCTCACGCCTCCTTTGGTAGAAGTCTGTCATCAATTGTGTCATTAGTCTTATATTTTGTGAAGGCTTGTGCTCCATAACTGATCCACTTTTTATGGAAATAGCTTTAGATGACCAACAATCATCTAATATGGACCTTGAATGAGCGAACACAAATGCTAGTAGAAAACACAAATCGTGGGGACATATTTCCCCTCTTTTGGAATTTATTGCTATCTGCTTTGTCTTGATATGGATTCCGATAATTCTAGTGTTTCAATAACAAACTTCAAATACTTAATTCAAACATAGCTCTATATAAGTAATATACTAGGTGACACATGCAAAGTAAATAATTGTCTGAATAAATACCAAAGCTATTTTTTTGTTGTATACACTTGCGATAGCTGGACCTGACTGGTTTCACGTTTTTGTACAGCCAATTTATTAAATCACTTGTGATAAGCAGGAGTTATCACTAGCAAAGCAAAGGCTACAGGTATGTTGTTTAATAACATTTAGATTTTCATTTATGGTACTACTACTAGTTAGTGTATAAAATTATATTTCCAGAAGTATGTGTTGGAATTCCATGGATAAATACTGGAATATGCTCACTTTTTCCCTGTAACTTCTATTGTATATCACTGATCTTGAGATTCTTAAACCACTACATCAAGTTTTTGTTTGTAGAATAATATTTGCATACACCATTGTGTCTAGACTATTCTTACTTCTTTATAGATATTTTTTCTCCTTTTTTGTTGAGAATGCTTTTAAGGCTGTTCTATAAATTTTGGGCTGTTCTATAAATATATCTTCCTGTGCACAATACTTGTTTGCTGCAACTTCAAGTTTTAGATAATTTATCAATCAAAATCATAAGCCACAAGGTCTTGTTGGTGGTGAGATTCCTCTCAAAAGCTTACACGTAACTTAGTGGGGAATAACTTTGCCCCTTATCTGCAAAGCATATGAATTTTCCAAGCAAATATTAATGCATTCTACTTTGAGAGTAACTTTGCCCCTTATCTGCAAAGCATATGAATTTTCCAAGCAAATATTATTTCGCATGGGACTGCGCTTCCATCCATGAATATGTGATCCTTTGCCAAGAAGTAGTGTAAATATGAAGCAACGGACTACCACTTTTCATATGCTAATAATTTCTCCTCGAAAATAAATCAAGTTTGGCATTTTCCTCGTATCACTGTAAAGTGCTATTGGACAAAAATAAAAAAATAAAAAAATGAAAAAAAAACTCGAATAGCATACATCTTGATTATATTTGAAGTTATTATCACTTTGGATTTCTTGCATATTGAAATTGTGATCAGTTAACAGTTCACATTACACATAAAAGGAACATATCTTGCTTTTCTTAGGACCAGAAGTTGGACTTATGGATAATCTGAAGATTGCATAACAGTTTGAGTCCATGTATTTCACCATCAAATACTGAAAACAAGGAAATTCATCCTTACGTCTTCATCTCAAGAAGATTTTAGGCATTTATAAAACAACGTCAATGTATTGGTAATGCCATATTTTATAGATACTCCCATGTATATTGTGCAACAGGAAGTTTCTGTTAATATCTAGGACATTGATAATTTTTTATAAGGGTTATACCCCTACAAATACTATAAAGTTTTTTGGGGTTAAACCAGTGACTGAAACTGGCATCTTTCTCATTCACCTTTAAATAATGGAATTTTCACTAGCATAGATGCCTCATGAATTCATGCAAAGTTAAAAGAAAGGTAACCGGAAGCACCAGCTATGTATCCAATGGATAAAAGATCCTGGAAATGTCTGGAACCAGAAGCATCAGGCACATTATAAATACACCAACCAACTCTTGTAGTTAGCAAGAACTACCATAGTCAAGATTGAGTTTGTTTCCAATCCTCTGATCTTCCTTTTTTTTTCTAAAAATGTCAATCATTCCCAGCTTCCTTGGCCGCAAGGCTAACAAGATAAATGACCTTGAGCCTGTCTCTCTTGAAATTTTGGATCCCTTTGAAGGCTTCTCCTTTGCCATTGGAGCTCCTGTTGTGAGTTTCGCTACCACCCGAATGGATTGGAAAGAGACCCCAGATGCGCATGTGTTCATTGCAGAGGTTCCAGGATTGAGGAAGGAGGAGGTGAAAATAGAGGTGGAAGAGGGGAAGGTTCTAAAGATAAGTGGGCAAAGGACAAAAGAATTTGAGGATAAGAATGAAAAGTGGCACCGGGTTGAGAGGATCTCTGATAAGTTTGTTCGGAGTGTGAGATTGCCTCCTAATGCCAATACTGATAAGGTGAGAGCAAACCTTGAGAATGGAGTGCTTACTGTGACTGTGCCTAAGGGATTTGAGAAGGTGCAGGGTGGAAGATTTATTCAGATATCAGGTTGATGAGTTCAGTTCTGCTCAATAAGTATAAAGCTTAATTAAGGGGGTCTTCGTATCAAAATAGTATCTGATGGAAGTATTTTATGTAAGAGATCTTATATATGGTCTTTTATCATATCTGCTTGTATCCTGTACTCTTCAATAAGAAGATATATGTAGTGGGTGGGAGTGGATTATGGTATTTGGAGACTAATTTCCTGCATTCGGCCTTTCTTTTCTTTTTTTCCCCTTTTACTCCAGAACAGGTTGCTATCCCCCACAGCTATTGTTTTATTTTCTTTTACGGACCTTTAAAGAGCTCTTTCCATTTTCTTTGAGCTTGTTACCTTTTAGGAGTATTATGCTCTGTTTTGTTCTCTCTATTGTAGTAAGTAAACTTCGTTATTCTATGGTGTTTGAAAAACTTAAAATGTTTCATCAAAACTATCATTGTCACACTCCAACACAAGTTTAATGTTGTGGACTGATTTCTTTAAATCTAATTTGCTTACGATGAGTCATAAGTCAAATTTGTCGATTGTGATATTTGGAGTAATATCAGGGAGGCCATTAATTACTAGTATTTTTTTCTTGCATTTATGAAGTTAAGAGCCCAATTTCTACTTGGTGCCAAAGCTCCAGATGCTCAGTCCTCTTAAGTTTGTCAGGTTGTTTGTCTTTTTGGGCAAAGAATTGTCACAATAATGCTTTTGCTTTGTCGAATACCTTCCTATAGCTAAATTTGAGGTTCAATGAGCTGTAGTTATGTGATACATTGATAAACCTTAAAAAACACATATTTTAGTTTTTACTGTCATTCAATGAGCTAATTATGGTCCCAATGTCAATGAGTTTTTAGTATCTGTTCATCCTTAAATTTTCTATTCGTACTGTTATTGGCATTGCGCATGATTGTGTGTCCATATAAGTTAGGGTTAATTATAGAAAACTCCCATGAATTTTTGGGGAGTTGCAATAAGCCCCCATCAATTGTTTTTATTAGACTACGTGCCCTGACCTTTAGGAGTTATTGCACATAACCCGCATGAAATATTTTATTTCACTAAATATTACATGAAATTTTATCTTTTAATCCCCATTTATTACCATCAACTCTAACCTATGACTGGCAAGAATAGGATAGAAAAGAAGATGAAAATTTGTTCTTAGTCCCCAACAAATAACCTTTTATTAAAAAGGAAAAATAGGCAATTTTTTTGCGACTCAGGAATTATTTTCATCTTTTTTCTACCACATGCTTGCCACAAGAGATGTTAGAATCTATGGTGCTAATTTGGAGATTTAATGAGAAACTTTCATGTGAATTTTAGTGAAATAAAGCAGTTAATGGTGTTTATATTTGCAATAACTCCTAAAGTTCAAGAGAGTTTAGTGTAATAAAAAACAGTTGATGAGAGTTTACTGCAAATCCCCAAAAGTTCATGGGAGTTTCTGTAATTAACCACATAAGTTAATAGGACTTTTACCTAAACTTTCTGAGTTTATCTGACATTTGGTTGAGTATCTTGCTGAGAGTTTACTGCAAATGCCCAAAAGTTCATGGGGGTTTCTGTAATTAACCACATAAGTTAATAGGGCTTTTACCTAAACTTTCTGAGTTTATCTGACATTTCGTTGAGTATCCTGCTGGACTTCAGCCATCTATGTCTATTTCCATCTTGATGTGGGCATCCTTAGATGTACAGTGAAATTGGTTGATCCTTGTAGTTCTCGTTGTTCTTGATTGTTTCTATCATACGCAATCGTGATCGAGCTAACAATGTGCTAAATCTGAGAAGGTATCCATCCTTGAAAGAACTGACTGTGAAGCACATAGTCGCGATTACTTTTTTTTGACAGGTAAAAATGCATGTTACTTGAGCATGTGCTTTAACAATTGAGCTTACTCCTACTTGTATGACTTCATTTTTGCAGGATTTGGGTGGTTCAGATCCTGAAGATGCAGAGTCTCAAGATCGCTTGCATTACTCACATGTAAGATAGTCATTTTCGTAGAAGTTGGCGAATAGTAGTCCTCCAACAAAACAGGAGAAGAACTTGAACCTTATTTTATTCTAATTAAAGTTTTGGTTGTTGCTGCTAGTGTAGGATCATAATGGGAGTCCTTGGTAAATTTCGAACTCCTTACAAGAAAGTTCCTGGTACACGCGACCCCTTTGATCCTTGAATATTTTTTATTGGTACAGTTTGTTCTATTAATTTAAAGTTATTGGCAATGTCTCCATTGGGTACTCGAGACTACCTTTTGTTATACATTGCACGTTTTTTTTTTTGATAGATTGCTATACATTGCACGTTGAGCATTTGATATTTTGACTGGCCTACTATGAATTAGTCTCAAACCTGTCATGTGGTTCAACATATTCTAAACTGCGAAAGATCAGGGACCTGTAAGAAAATCTACATGAATAATTTATGATTTTCTTTAAAAACGCACATTTATTTTTTTATAATTTATAATCCGTCACTCAGACAATTAGTGAATCCTCGAATGAAATGCTTCTATCTTGTTGGGACTTACATCCATCATGAGCAAGGTCGATATATTTTCGCGGACTTCTTTTCCTCTTTAATATCTCTTATCTAGAGGCCCATCTAGGGGTGTGCAACGGTCGGTTCGGTTCGGTTTTTACCAAAATTTGAACAATCGAACCAAACCGTCTATAATTCAAAACCGAACCGAACCGAACTGTTGCAAGTCGGTTCGGTGCGGTTCGGTTTGGTTTGTTCGGTTCTAACTTCATCAAACTTCTTATCAAACAACAAACCGTGTTAAAGAAAAAAGATATCAACAAAGTAGGAGATTATGAAGCATTAAATACTGATATAATGATATTATTTTTAACCCATAATGATTCAGAAAATGAGTTTAGGGTTTGAGTCTTTGACTCTTTGGTGACGGGTCGGGTAGGGTTTGAGATCAGAATGGATAGTATTGCACTATATTCGGTCGGTTCGGGTCGGTTCGGGTTGAAAAGTTTTCAAACCGACTCGAACCGTCCTACTCATAAAACCGATTTTTCCGGGTCGGTTCGGATCGGTTCGATTGGTTTTTTCAGTTTGGACCGAACCATGCTCAGCCCTACCCATCCAGTGTGCTTGTATATTACACGACTGGAGGCACACAATAAATACATGGTAAAGTTTTCAGCTGACAAAGTCTAGAAATCTAATTACCGAGCTTTAGAAAATAGAGTCTAAGGATGTAAATGCGAAATAAAATTAGTTTAATCCGTTACGAACTTGTTAATTAGCATGAGATCAAGGGGCCAATTAGCAATAGAAATAAACAAAATTAGTTTAAATTTTGATATTAAAAAACTCATATATCTTTCACATCGAGGTGGGCCCCACACGTGTTTCCTTCATGTGGGAGCGTAGGTTCGGGCGTGTCACGAAAATAATGGCACACTCCGGTGCGTGCACATGAGCCCAGCCCAAAGGTCGAGGCATGTGTCCCCTCGCATGACTCGCACGCGCGAGGCTAACGGAATATTTAGATTGGTGGGCCGTCAGTTTAACAGATGGGACGTTAGCGGGCCGCACGTGACGATTGGATGGCCCAATCATGAACATCACATTAGTCAAATCTCAGCCGACCACGGCCCCATTGGGTAACCATCACATTTTAGCTGGGAATTAAGGCTTGGATGATTTCACTAATGAATTTGTCTAATTGAGTCCGTGCCAAAGCATTAAAACAAATGGATTAGATTCCTGCAAAAGACATCAAATGAATCAAATTGGACGGTTGGAATGGAGAACAAAGTAAAGCTTTAAGCCACCAAACTAAATTGGACGGTTAGTAGATGTATTATCAAATTAAAATATTAAGCTAGCTCTCTTTGTAAAGTTGCTAACAATGTAAATATTAGTCTCTCTCTCTCTCTCTCTCTCTCTCTCTCTCATTTAGGTGGCTGCTAATTGAGGTTATAACAACAAATTAAAACATTAATGATGAGGAAGTACAAGCTCATGAATATCTCTGAGACTCATCTTGCCATAATTTATGATGCCGTTTACACTTAGTATCAACATGCATGCATCTTTAACCCATTGTTTGATCTACATAGTGATTACTTGGTGTACTATGTTATCTAGAGCTTAATAAAGTCTAGATTCTACATTTACGGTTGTTGGTGTCTTTGGCTTGAGCACGTAAATTAGGATTACCCACTTATGCACTCTGACATAACATCAGCACCTTGTGAACAACTTGAGTTTTATTATTGTGCTCTTAGCTCGGATTAGGCGCGGGTTAATTCTGCTATGAGATGATCTAATTACTCGAAGAATATTCTTAATTGTTTTTTAACAAAGCTTAATTCCCATTACTAAATTGTGAAGGGGAACCGGGAAACAATTAAGAATAAGGTAAAAAGAAAGATAAAAGAATAGGGTAAAAAGATAGGTTGTTAGAGCGGTTTAATACATAGACATCTAACCCGGTGATGATTTCACGCATTGAGGAATCACTCCAAAATCTTACATAAACAAAAAATTTATTCATCTAAACTCTACTGCATTGCAGAAATCTCCTCCCTCTTTAATAGAGTTTGGATTTCTAATCTAAAGCAAATCAGAAAACATATGCATATCTCTAAAACCGGTTCGCTCTTAACAATAAAACAATCAAACAAAGTCAATCCTAACACAATTCTAATCAATAAAATTTAACAAAATTACTCATTCTCACATATCTAAAAAACCAAATCCAAATCTAAAATCATAACAACTCTTATCTTCAATCCAAATCAAATTTGAACATGATTGTTGTCCTGCATCAAACTGACTATACACACACTTGGAGTTACTATACTGAAGAGAACTCGATCAAACCAGTAAAACAAAACCAAAAGTCACACCATACATAGACATGAATCTATCTAAACTTAATTGATTTTGTTCTCGTGTGAAAAGGCACTAAAATGAGAGTTAGCTAATAATTCAAAGAGGTAGCTAATAATTCAGTTATATGTATCATGCTCCCGGCACTAAAATGGAAGTTCAGTGGTTTATGGTTGATAATGGGAAACGAAAACTCGCTGGACAAAATATTAGTGATAGTAAACATCATCCGTCAGCATTAGCGGCGCGTCCAACAATTTTCTATGTACATATATGTTTTTCATGTGAGACTTCTATTATTCAATGTCTAGTTTGAATATTCAATGTGATCAAACTACAAATTGATAGTTGTCCAATTGCATATATTTTACCTAATGTTTTCTTTTGTGTAAGTACATCATTTAACTTTCCCAATCCAATAATTATTTTATCAATATATGATTTGTAGCCCATCTTAAATTAAAAAGCACACAATGTTTCATGCCTTATCAGTTATCAGAACATGTTTTCAACAAATCAATGCCATAAGATGATTGTGATCTCCATTAATATACATCTCTCTAATCAAATTAAGATGCATGACTTGTGTTGTATCGATAACGTATGACCCTCTGAATTATCTATCATGTAAGAAGACAAGATTAGTGCGACAAAACAATCATTATCAATCACAGGGGTAGCACATGATCATCAATTAGCCCTCTAAACCTTTTGGAGCTTTTTCTTTTGGTTGATTAAACTTTATCATCCACCATAGAATCTAGCTAAACCACAATGTGTGATTATGCGAGCAGGGCCCACAACGCGATAAAACTAATCGCCTCTTTTTGTGGAACATTAAGTGTTGCACTAATCTTTAATCTTGAAAAATCTATGGGATTCCAAATAGTCCAATGTAAAGGAGAACTAAAATATGGTGATGGGTTGGTTTGTCAACTTTGATTATGATAAGCTCTTGGTCTGGAGTGGCGACATTATTAGCTGGAGTTGCTTTCATATGGAGTCCAAGGGCGGTTTCTTGTGGGCTTTGGTGAGGGAGGGTATCTCAAAATATTGTGGTTTTGGCTTACCGTTTCTTTGATGAATTGAAACAACTCATCAGATCATCCTCCTTACTTCACAAGCTAGCTCATCTTTGTAATCTGTATGAACATATTTTGATCTTTTTATTGACAATTTTCTTAACGCGCACACAAATGACACGTGTATGTTTGATTTAGTGAATGTCATATGATAAATTCGCGCGTTTGAATTGAACTCAAATATACTTTTCAGCAATGAAAGATGTACGTAGTCATTTAAGATGATAGAAGCGTTGTTATGCCCCATATAAATTCGAAATCAATTAATTCTACATATGTAGTCAATATGTTCTTAGAAAATCCGACATGTAGCGTTCACTTATGTGCACAAATTTATAGCTTCATCTGGATGTTGATCAATCTGTGAGTTTTCTTACCTAAGCACCAAAATGCGGTCAACTCCATATAATTGAAGTGGTATCTAGCTTGAAATCCTTTTATATTTTTGTGGTTATACGTTGCGACAAAAATAATTAAGTGTGTTTGTTCTCTCTTTGTGTCTGTAAGAATCTAGGACTCTGCAATTGATCGCTTGGTCTATGAAATGGAACTTATTGAGTTAGTTCACAATTCTAATTATGGTTCATGATTAACTTCTTCCACGTGTCTTTCACGATCATATTTTCTAAATCCTATGAGCAAGTCGCAGACATTAATTCAAACAACTGAGAAGCTAAAGCTAGATCCTGAACGTGCATTTGTAACGTCTATAATTATTTGCCATGTATCAGTTCCTCGATAGGTTTCTTTCTGAAGAAAACTGTCCCAGCTCAAGGGAGTAGAATTTCTAAGCTACTTACAGAGATTAATTATATATCCTGATCATTTGGCGGTATACTGTCCATACAACTCTGAAATTGAAAATACAGCACTTACTTGGTCATCATAAGAGGATGAATGTAGTTACATGTTAACTCCAAGATATCATTGGAAGTAAAATTTGATCCTTTGGTTTATGCACTGGTTAAGTACCAAATGAGCTCTAATCGCTAGTAGAAAACAGAGTATTGGCGACGGGGTATTGGTGACGGATTTCGAATCCGTCACCAATACAAACATTGGCGACGGGAAATGGCCCGTCACCAATACCCCGTCGCCAATGTTTTACATTAGCGACGGACGTCCGTCGCCAATATACATTGGCGACAGAATTACAATCGGTTTGCGTTTGGTGTACGAAAAGAAAGAAAGAAGAAAAAAAAAGAGTTCTGTTGTACAACATTACAATTTACCGTCACCAAATACTTAACCTCCGGGAGCAACATGAAAACTCTGATCATTTGTTTTTTTTGTTTTTTTGGTCAATGAAAAAGAGATTTATTTCATTTCCCAATATGTACATTTGTAATGAACATCAAAACATCAGTTACAAACCTGATGATCACACTGATACAAATTACTTATAGAACTACTTATGTCTTCTCCAGTGACTCTCACATATGTATAGGAATATCATCATTGTTTAAAATCCTTGAGTATATCAGCATCTTTACTACCTTAAATAGCAAATCAGGTGTCCGAATCTTATTTTGAAATATTCTCATGTTCCTCTCTTGCCAAATCATGTAGACTGTAACAGAGAGAGCCACCATCTTCAATTATTGCTTGAAGCCTCCTCTTTTGAGATTAAGAGAGTACCAGTTAATAACCAGGTTCCAGTTGCAAGATCTCCAAGAAAACCCCATCCAATTCATCACCCTGTTTCAAATATCAGCTGAAAACTGACATTCAAAGAATAAGTGATTGCAGATTTCTAGTTGCACACAAAACACATTTGTTTTGATTCAATATCCCCATGCGACAGAGTCTGTCCTGTGCTAACAATCTGGAAAGACAAACTAGCCAAAGAATAACCGAATGTTTTGGATAGTGAAGCCCTCTCCAAACCGTGTCAGACCACGAAACCAAAGGCATTGGTAGAGTAATAGCATTGTAAACTGCTGAGATTTGAATTTTTTTCACTGGTGCAGCATGCACCAACAGTGCTCTGAATATTTGCAACATTTCCAAATTTGGCTATATCAAATCCCTCACTCTGAGGATTTGTTTCCACATCCATGAATCACTCATCTTTGATTGAACTTGCCAAATATCTGAAGCTTATAAGTAGTTCTCATGTATCCATTTAATCCAAAGGAGATCTTTTTATGATGAATCATCCATAAGATTTTAACTGCCGCTGCATAGTTCCATTCCCTAGCTGAAAAAATTCCCAGCCCTCCCTTCTTTTTTACTCTGGCATACAGTGCTCCATGAGACAAGATGAATTTTAGTACCCCCACAAGAAATCTGAACATAAACTGTCAATTTTCTCTAGGACTTTGATGGGAAGGATTAGTTGCTAGTCCAGAAGTTTTGAATGCCCAGAATGACAGATTTTATTAATTCAAGTCTCCCTACATATGACAAATGTCTTCTTTGTTGCCAGGAAATGAATTGATCAGAAATTTTTCTGATTAGTGAAGAGAAATCCAGGTAAGAAAGTCTCCTCGCAATCAGTGGCATCCCCAAATATCGCATAGGTAGCTCTCCTTCAGAGAAGTTTAGATAGGTACAAATCTGATTTTTTAAGCTATCATCAATCCCACTTAAGAAAACTGAACATTTGTTTGGATTAGCTTCCAAACCTGAAACTTGGTTAAATTCATGAAGGCATAAAATCAACCTTGATATTGAGACCATGTCAGCTTTGCTATATAGCAGAAGGTCATCGGCAAAAACCAGGTGGCTTATATTCATCCTAGAACATTTAGGATGGAACTTATACAATCTGTCACTCTTCAATAAGCTCAGCCTCCTTGATAGGTACTCCATGCCAATCACAAACATGTATGGGGATAAGGGGTCTCCTTGCCTCAATCCTCTAGCATCACGGAAGTAGCCATGTAAAGCACCATTGAGAGACAGAGAGAACTTAGGAGTAGTAATGCACTCCATGATCTAGTTTTTTATGGCATTTGGAAAACCCAAATCTGCTAGCATGTCTCTAATAAAATCCCAACTTATAGTATCAAAAGCCTTCCTCAAATCAATATTTAGTATGGCCCTAGGAGAATTATTTTTCCTCCTATAGTGTTTAATGAGCTCATGAGCCATCAATATGTTGCTAGAAATGAGTCTCCCTTTAACAAATGCACTTTGTGCATCATTGATCAAATACCCCATGACCTTCTGAATTCTACATGCTATATTTTTTGTAATGATTTTATAGACAACATTGCAACATGAATGGGTCTAAAGTCTGATGGTGAGCTTGGATTAAAAAATTTGGGCACTAGAGTGATTGAAGTGGTATTGTAGGTGCCAAGAAGCTTACCCGAGCAGAAAAACTCTTCAATTGCTAAGAAAAGGTCCTCCTTGATGATATTCCAAGCATTCTTGAAGAAAAAAGCACTGAAACCATCAGGCCCTGGAGCTTTGCCATTTTCCACGGAGAAAACAGCTTTTTTTATCTCATCTCTAGAGACAGGCCTGCTCAGTTCATTACACTGGCTTTGGGAGAGAACTGGTCCACTTGAAATCACAGTTGGGTCAGGATGCGTGGTAGGTGTTTTTGTACCAATGAGATTTTTGTAATAATCAGTAAATTCACTTATGATCCCGACATATCTGAGATTCTGATCCCATTCTCAGATTGTATTGATAGAATTCTATTTTGATGTCTCTTAGCCTTCATGATAGAGTGGAAGAAATGAGAGCCTTTGTCTCCATGCAATCCCCAATTTATATTTGTTTTTTGTCTGTAAAAGGAGACTTCACATTCCACCAGTTTAGTGTATTTTTTCACACGTTCATTCTCCTTAAAAGATTGCTGTTTAGCTGACATTGGATATCATATATCTAATTCAACTCTGATCATTTGTGTATGTATGAATAGTAAGTTTCTTATAGATATATTGAAAACTTCAGAACCTTATCTCTAATTAGTGTTCATGGAATGATTATACTGCACTATTGAGGTTCCATTAATCCTAGCCTTACTTTTCTAGTGCTCTAGGTAGCTAGTTATCACTTGACCAATGAGTAAGTTTTATGCCAATCTTAACTGAAGGGTGGCATTAGGGACACACTCCTAACCACAACCTTAACCACACCCCCTCTCAATTGCTACCGTACACAGGGTCCCACATTGGATTTTAAAAATTTAAAATCCCAAGTAGGACCCGGTGTACTGTAGCAAATGAGGGAGGGGATGTGGTTGAGGTTGTGGTTAGGGGTGTGTCCCTATCATTTTCCTTAACTGAATGTATGGAATAACCCAAGCTTTTGTATATGCATATTGCTTTTCCTGTAGGTAACCATAAACTATTTAAAGGCCTTTGAATAATTTATCATAGTATGATGGTGGCACGAAGAACAATCACTTTGTTTCACCTTTTTCTATAACTATTATAAAATTAATTCTCGTTTTATTTCATGGATAACCTTCAATTAATAATGAGCTTTTTTAGGTAAGAGGGTACCAATTGTATGATCTCAGGGGGCGCACTGAAAATTTTGGCCTTGTACAACTTCTGTTTATCTTACTGACTTGATGTGTAGCTTATAATAATATTACCCAAGAATTTTAATTCTAAGTACTAAAGATGCTGAAATAGTACTAAAGGTAACTTGATGTATAGATTATAAGATATTTGACACATGTTACTTCCTAACGGACCATAAGACTCCAAATATTTTACTTAGAAATTTACATTTTTTTATATAGAAAATAATGATTATCTTATAATGTCAGTTACCTTGATTTCCTTCTTTTAATCATCTTTATTAGTTGAAAAGAGAACTCAGGCTAGATGCAAAATAAAAATAAAAGCAACTCTATCTTTTACCAACTTCCATGTTTCTTTTGTAGTTAATCTATTGGTGGTTATCTCTAGACCAATATTAAGAAAGTTCTTATTATTGTATGATTGAACTTAGATTCTTCCCAAACCTTAGCATTTCAGACATATGTTATCCAAAGTTTTAATAAGGATCGACAAGACATTAAATATGAAGAAAGTATAGAGTTCAACATTAAAAATTCCAATCACCACCATTAATTATAAAGTTAATTTCCTTTTAAAATGCCTTTTCCTTGATGAGAACTTTTGCAACATTTTTAAGAAGCGCATGTGAGCAAAGTCTTAAGGAAATCAACTCCTTGCATTTCAACATTATATAACTCACTAAATCTTAGAAAAAGATATATGCAGTCATTTTGACCCTACTAATCTACCTAGCTACTTCTATAAGGATTTGTCATATCATAATGTAATGATATGAGTAGTGTGGCCCTTTACGTCAATAAATTCAAAGCAAAACTTACCTCAGGAGGATACCATGGGGATCCACTAGCATGGTTGGATAAGTTTGCTCCCTGCTCAATGGTCCCAGGTTTAAATACTTTTATTTTATTTTATTGGAATCTCCTAATCAAGTTTCACGTACACCCAAAAAAAAAAAAAGCACTACTAGTCAAGGAGTTTAGGACTGTATGCATGTTTGGCAACTTAATTATTTGTACTTATAAGTAACATTTTAATTATAAATTTGCAACAATGTGTTTAGATAAGAGTCACTTATGTTACTTATTTGTTACTTATAAGTAGTCCAAAAATAAGTTGGGCAATCCCAACTTATTTTTCAGCTACTTATAATTAACGTTCCTTATTCTGGCCAAAAGACATAAATACCCTTCTATTAATTACCTTAACTCAGTGGATATTTTCTTATTATGAAGTGATTAATATTAGTAATTAATTAGTTAATTAATTAATTATTATTTTATTAGTAATATATAATATTATAATAATATAATATATATTATTATTGCAATATTATAATATATTATATATTAAATTTGTTTGTTATTAATAATATTTTATTAATTTATAATAGTAATTAATTAATCACAATATTAGTAATTAATACTCACAAATAATGTAATATATTTTAATCAAATGTATTTCTTATTATGAAATGACTAGCTTTTAATTAATTAAATAATTATTTTACTAATATGAATTGAATTAATTAATCTCAACATTAGTAATTAATAATTACAATATAATACAATTTATAAAAATATTTTAATCAAATGTATCTTTTATATGAGATAACTAATTTTTTATTAATTAATGTTATTAATAATAATATTTCACTACAATGAAATTAATTAATTAATTTCAAGACTAATAATTAATAATTATAATTAATTTGAAATAATTAATTGTAAATTATTCACTTTTAAATAATTGATACATTTATTATTATTAATTATCTGATTAATATAAAATGAATTAATAAGTCACACTATGGAGTTACAACAATATGTCCTTTGTAATTATTTGATATTTAATACAGCCTTATAAGTTATTGGTTTACCAAACATATAATTACTTATATCTCCTTATAAATTAAGGGGTTCAGAAAAAATTTTCTTTTTTTTTTCCTTACATGCTTATAATAAGTTTTAAGAATAAGTAATACGTAACTTATAAGAACTCAAAAAAATAACTAGTAGCCAAACATGCTCTATATATACAACGGACAATCCTATAAAAACAACAACAACAAGAACAAATGATCTAAATTCAAATTAATAAATAATATTAAATAATGAAAATTTTAACAAGATAACCCTTGAATTTTGATGCGGATTGATAGCGCTTAATTTTAATAAAGAAATTAGTATTCCGTTCTTCTTAATTTTGACCGTGACTTGATCGTCGAGACTGGAAAAATCGATTACTTTCTTGAGATTGAAGTTGATCAAAGGGTGCAAGTTACCCCGCGGCCATGGAACTTTCATGGAATTATCGCCCTACAAGTATTGCATATATCCTTTAATTTCAAGTTGGTCAACAACGGAGATAACAATCTTCTCAACAATCCAATGGTTCAAGGAACAAGAAGATTATCTTGTTGAATGCGCATTAAGATATATAAAGGCTTAATTTCCAAGCTATCATACAAGTCAATAAACAAATTGATAGCATTATTATACGTACATATGTTACATGCTTCAATGTACCAAGACTCATACAATTATAGTTAAATTAATAATATATGTAACCCTCACCGTATGATTGATAACGTTAATTCAAAATTTTAAAGCATATTATCAATGATTAGCTTGTTATTTAAATACGGAAGGTTGAATATTAATTATTAATATATACATATATATATATATATAGACAAGTGTATAAATGAAGCTTAAAGTTAGTACAAGATCTTGATATAGGAAAGATCTAATTAGTATTTATCTAGCTTCCAAGCTCTAAACTACAATTTCCGTTTTCTATAACAACTTTAGCGGAGGTACGAGGATGCCAACGCTTCCTTTGATAAAATACATCTGTGTAAAAAAAAAAAAAATTTATGAAAATTAAAAAAAAAAGAAATAATTAGAGGAAGGGAAAAAATGCTTCCAGCCCCCAAAACACAAGAAAAAACGCTTCCCACCCCCAAGACTTTTTCAACGCCCTCAAAACCCCCAAATTCGTAATAACTATGCACTGAGCCCCCAAAACACAAAGCCCAAGAATTTTACACAACTAAAGACTATAATACCCTTTATCTCTCTTATGGGCATTGATTACCTCCTCCCCCCTCCAGTGCTTCTCCCTGATGTCCCTATCCCCGACCGTCGTCGTCCCCTGCGGCGTCCGCGAGCTCAAGTCCGACGAGCGCGGGCTCTACCTCATCCACCTCCTCCCTCCTCACCGCGCCAACCACATCGCCGCCGGCTCCCTCGACCACGCCAACGGCTGCCTCGGCGAGATCGCTGACGGCGAGGTCGCGGAGCTCGCCGGAGATCTCGTTGGAGGCGAGAGAAAGGACCCTGAGCTCGGCGGAGGAGGGGAGAGAGGAGAGGAGGGAGTCGTTGAGGAGGTTGGCGGAGAGGTCGAGGTGACAAAGGTAAAGTGGGAGGAAGAGGTCGGAGGGGAGGGAGCCGAGGAGGCGGGTGCCAGGCAAATGAATTCTTTATCGGAAGAACTACCACAGCTAGCAAAAACAGCATGAAGAAGAAGGAGAAGAAGTCCTAGAAGCTAGCGGTAGCAGAGGGGGTCCTCTCCCAACACAACCTCAAGTCCGTCGACCTCTTCAGGGGCAAGAGGATTTCCGAGCTGAGCAACGCCGAGAAGCTCGACGGATTCACGAGGGGAGCTGATCAAGGAGAAACACTGTCGGGAATCGGAGCCGGTCCCGACGGTTCTGATCAAGGGAGCAGCGACGCCCAGATCATCGTCGGCTACCATCTCAATAGCGTTCACCAGCTCTTCTTCTTTGACGTTAGCAACGTGGCCTTGATTGATTATGCATGCTAGCTGTTTGATTAATTATAAATCTTGTAATATATATTCTGCTGGTGTTCTATATTGCTAGCTAGTTGGTTAACTAATCTCTTGGATTGTTATTATATTATAATGCCCGTGTCCATAAAGATTGAGAGACTAGTAACTGTAGGTTGCATTCAGTGATAGTGTACGTTGCATTAACTTATATCGCATGCAATATATCCAGTTGCAGCTCTTTAATTAAGTGGTTGTTAAGGTTATACGCGTTGGTTGTTAAGCTTACGAGTTTTTTCTTAAGGTTACGTGTTGATTGTTAAGGTTAGGATTTAGTTGTTAAGGTTAAGTATTGGTTGTTAAGGTTATACACGTTGGTTGTTAAGGTTACG